GACTACAGGCACCCACCACAATGCCTGGCTATTTTTTGGTTGCAGTTGTCATTGTTGCTTAGCAGGCCCGGGCCAGGTTTGAACTCACCATCTTAGTTATATGTGGCCAGCACCCTGCTGACTGAGCGACAGGTGCCGCCCTATTTCATGTCTTATTTTAGAAATAATTTTCTATTCCAAGGTCAGAAAGATACTTTTCCCATGTTTCCTTAAAAGGTTTATTATTTTACTTTCATTTAAATTCTGTAGTCTATCATCTCACTTTAATGGTTTAATATCAAGAAAATTGTATGTCAGTTTTTCATCTAATTATCTGAGTGCCCTGAGAACAGGAGTCATGTTCTCCATGTCCCCTTAGCTAATGCCTCTCCCACCCTAATATGCACCTGTACTGGACACATAGTAAAGACCCAGGTCACAGTTCATGTTTGTGGCATAATGTATGTTTGTGAAATAAATGTTTGCTGTTAGAGGGGTGCAGTGTTGTTTCTTTTTCTTTTTTTTCCTTTCTTTCTTTTTTCATTTTTGATGGAATCTCCCTCTGTCACCCAGCTGGAGTGCAGTGGCACAGTCATAACTTAGTGCAACCTCAAATTTCTGGGCTCAAGCAGTCCTCCCACCTTAGCCTCCTGAGTAGCTGGTACTATAGGCATATGCCATCATACCTGGCTAACTTTGAAAAAAGTATTAGTCAGGCATGGTGGCTGACACCTGTAATCCTGGCAGTCTGGGAGACCAAGGTGGGAGGATTGCTTGAGAATAGGAGCTCAAGAACAGCATGAATAAGAACTACAAAAAATAGATTAGCTGGGCATAGTGTTGGGAGCCTGCCATCCTAGCTGCTACAGAAGCTGAGGCAAGAGGATCACTTGAGGCCAGGAGTTACAGGTTGCAATGAACTACCATGACATCACTGTACTCTAGGTGGGATGACAGAATGAGACTCTGTCTCAAAAGACAGTGGCCTCAATGTTGCTCAGGCTGGTCTTGAACTCCTTGCTTCAAGTGATCTCCCACCTCAACCACCCAAAGCATTAGAATTACAAGCGTGAGTCACTGTGCCTGACCAGTGTTTGCTGTTTTAGTGAATGCTGATACAATCAATCTAAGACTTCTCTAATGTTAGTTGTTGTAGTAAATATTCTAAAGGCACCTCAAAAATAAATAAATAAATGGCACCTCGAATGATAACATCTCTAAAACAGAACTTTGATTTTTGTCTCCCCAGAAACTTTTCCTTCTCTAGCGTTCCCATCTCAGGCAGTAGCACAGACAAACGAGGTGTCGCACAACCCCCAGCCCAGAAGCATCCTCGATTCCTCTCTTTCCTATAGCAGCACCTGCCTCAAGTCCAGGCTAGCAGACGGTCTTGTTACTTCCACCCTTTGCTGTCATGAGCTCTTAGTTCTGTCCCTCTGCTGGTGTCCCGTGTTAAGCCATTGACCTCCTGACTGTTTTTATTGCCTTCTCCACTCTAGGTAGCAGCAAGAGGGCTCTCTTTTTAAAATCATAAATCAAATCATCATTTAAACTCCCCTCAAACACCAGTAGTAGCTTTCTAACACACCTAGAATAGAATTCAAACCCCTTGGTGTGGCCTTGCACCACCTGCCCCTACGTGCCTCCTGATCCCATCTTACCCCTCCGGGGCCCACCCTGACATCATGGAGCCTGCACTTACTTTTTCTTTGCTTCAGACACACCAAGCCTCTCCTGCCTCAGGGTTTGCACTTGCCCTTCTTGCCGCCTCGGAGGTGCTTCTTCTCTAGCTTCCTTCCTCCCTTACTGCGATCTTTGTTCAAATGGCAGACCTCAGTGAGGTGGGCTTTCTTAGCCAACTCATCTGAAATAATGCCCCCTTTTATACTCCTGATGTTTTCCTTTTTATTCACCTGTTGAAATTATTTGATGTGTTTACTTTTCATTATTTGTCTTGTCTCAGTAGAACGTAAGTATGGTATCTGGTTCACCTCTGTCTCTGCTGTCTAGAATATGCCTTATACAAAGTACAGACCCAGTAAATATGGGTTCAAAAGAATGACGGAACAATATGATACAAAGAGTGTCACTCTCTGCGATAGGCACTGATGTGATTGCTCTTAGAAGCCATAACTTATAGGACACATTTTTAAACCCTTTCACTTCTATTTCAGGTGAAGTCACTTCAGCCTCCTGTTACAGAAAAGCAGGGAAATCAGTGGAAAGATTCAGATCCTGTGATGGCTGGAATTGGGGAGGAGGTAAATTTTGTTTCCTAAGGATTTTTTCCAGAGATAGTTCTGATAGTGAGATTTGTATGGCTTTCAGTACAGACTCCCAACATGACTAGTTTATTCTAGCATTGAAGCTTGGCCCGTCCCAGGAGTCTGAGTTGTTAGTAAGCACAGTAGCAGTGACTTTACTCTGTGTCATTCAGCCTAAGTAGTTCCTCACTTGTGGCTTCTACAGATTGCACATTTTCAGAAGGAGTTGGAAGAACTGAAGGCCCGAACTTCTAAAGCCTGTTTCCAAGTGGGCACTTCTGAGGAGATGAAGATGTTGCGAACGGAATCAGACGACTTGCACACCTTCCTTTTGGAGATCAAAGAGACCACAGAGGTTTGTGTGGATGGATATTTTTTTTCTGGATTAAATTGCATTTTTAGAAATTGTTCTAGTAGTCCATGGGTATATATATTATACTCTATCTCTTCAAATGTGTGTGTGTGTATTGTTTTAATGTGGCTAAGTAGTTTACCTAGACATACCTGAATTCAGACCCTATCTTCAGCACTTGGTAATGAATATGTGACTTTGGGCAAGTTAATCTTGCTACTGTGTTTCAATTTTGCCATCTGTAAGATGGAATAATATTTTTTATCCCTTTGATACATATTAGGAATTTTGTAAAGTTTATTATACTTGTTACTTTAAGTATACTTGAAAACTTAATATCTTCAGTAAGTGTTAGGTGAAAAAAGAAAACAGGATATTTTAGAGCATATACAGTATAAAAATATTAAACATTTGTTGTTAATAGTGTTATTGATTATTACTTTTATTATTACTAAGTGCTGGGCTCTGTGCTAAATTCTTCACCTATATTTTCTCCCTAAATCCTTGTAACTTCCCTGTGTTGTATGTCCTAGTATTCTCTCAGTTTTGTAAGTCTGGAAACTGAGGCTTTGGAAGGTTAAATACTTTGTTGAAAGTTACCCATGTAGTGACTGGTAGTGCCAGGATCCCATTTCGACTGTCTGACTTCATGGTTTTAGTCTTTTTTTTTTTTTTCTTTTTTTTTGAGACAGAGCCTGAAGCTGTCCCCCTGGGTAGAGTGCTGTGGCATCACAGCTCACAGCAACCTCCAACTCCTGGGCTCAAGCGAGTCTCCTGCCTCC